CATAGACCTAAAGAGATTTCTGTAGCCTTTAGAAAAATTATTATGTATGCTTTTATGTCTGGTAGGTGATTTAAACAAGATCTCCAAATTATCTGAAATAAATAATACCACTATAAGTAGTATTATACATGTAAAGAACTATCAGTTTGTCCAGGATTGGCCGCTCCATCGAATTACACCAAAGTGTTTGCTGTTTCATGTTCGAAAGAGTCTCTAAGAAGCCAGAACTTTTATATCAGCATCTACAGGTAGCTGTAAGGGTCAAAATGCATCTTTCTGCAATCAGGGAGCGAGTGAGTAAAATCAAGATGCATGGAAGGTTGAATTTGGCTAAGAGGATTTTAGAGTAAAACTACATTTTGTCGGTGAACACAGATGCAAAGGCAAGGGCTTTTAGAATAAATTTTTCTGCACAAATAGAGCTCATTGCTTACACTAACGGTAAACATGGTTTGATTGGGTTTTTTTCCAGACCAAAGACAATTTTGGGGGGCAATGTAACCTCATACAATTTGTGGCGAGAATGTTCTGGCTTAGGTTTATTTCACCGTCTCTGGGCGCACACAGCTTATAATAAACAATCCAAATATGAATTCACATCAAAGGGCGCATGAAGGTAATGTGAGGCCATGTGTCTGAAAGCTTGTGTTGAAGCAGATGTGGACTTTTTTCTTTACAGGATAATGATCCTAAACAAGAAAAGAGCACACAAAGAATAAATGTAGGGTTAGTCAGAACCTAGAAGCAAATCCCACTGTATTTTCGTGTGGAGGTTTGAAATAAGCAGTACATAACAGAAAAGGTACCAAGAAAGGTACTGAAGGAACTGAGCATGTAAGAGTGGTCAAAGCTGCTCATCTACAAGATCATGAAGTAGCTTCTGGTATCAGCTAGTTCATATTAATGTTGAATAAAGGAATGGAAGAGGTCAGAGGCATACAACATCTTTATTGGTATGCACTGTTTCAAAAAGGGTCGGGTGTTTGCCTAGCCAAAACATATGTAAATTGCAAGTTTTCAGTAGATAAATAATACATGACTTTCCTTTTTCCTTTCTTTTTTATGTATCTTGCACTGGCGTTTCTTTTTTAAATGATGTAAGGTAATCACATTGCAATTATACTGCGTTAATAAAACATTTTTGGATTAAACTTCTTGATTATTCCGCCTTGTGGGATTGACTTCAGGATCCAACATCAACTGGTCTGCTTGCCAAAACCATTTGTCCAAGACAGTGCTTAAATTAAGTACCAAATAAGTGTACTGCCATGTTTAATTTAGTCTGATAATACACTCATGTTAATACATTCTCATGGTTAATATAATTGATTTTCATTCTTTAATTTGGTCTGATCTAATGTTAAGATTTTCATTGGGACTGACCATAAAGGACTAGATTTGAAATGGGTACATCAGACAGTTCAGGTTGAATAGTATGGCGACAAAGTTAAAGAGGCAAGAAGGTTTGGACGTGTGCAGAGGAGGGCTGGTGGATATACTGTACAAAGGGTGTTAACTATTGAGCTTCCAGACCTCGAGCAAAAGAGGAAGCCCACAGAGAAGATTCATGGATGTAACCAAGGAAGACATGTCGAGGGATGATTTGACAGAGGAGAAATAGGGTGAGATGAAGGCAGATGATCTGCTGTGGCAACCCTAAAGGGAGCAGTCAAAAGAACAAGTTTACACTGATCCACTTTGGAAGTTCATGTTTATTTGGGCCTGGTTACTAGTCTTTTGACTGAGTGATTCATTAATTCAATCACTTATGAAGATACCAGAAAATAAACCCTTGTTCAGCCGAAGTCAACTAATTTTCCTGTAAGGTTTAAATGAAAATAGTTGGCTTATGTTGTTATTCAAACTAATAAAGAGCGTATTAGTACAGTACAAATAACAAATGGCGGTTGATTCACCTTTTTTGTCTCCCATAGTCTTAGCTTAAGTTAAATCTCATAGATGGACCTTAATGGGAACACTTATGTTAATTTATTTTTATTCTTAACGCGATTACGTGTATAGTATTTTAGTGATGAAGTTAACTTTTATACCATTCTTTAGGCCTTGGATACGAAGATATCGAGGACACATTTTCATTTACTTATTTTGTCACTGTGTTAGCTAGTGATCAGTAGACTAGCTACACTAGATTTACTCATTACGCTAATTCAAAATTACGGATATAATACACTTCAAATCTCTGGAGCACTAAAATGAACTTTAATATGAAATGTTATTGGTTTTTATCATTATTATGCTAACTAGGTTCTCATGCACCACCCATGGATTATAATTCTACCCGGAAACCTGGTAGTGTAGGAATTTCCGGTTACGTCAGGGCGTCAGGACTCCATTAGAGCTGCAGCTGTTTTGAGAGAAACAACAACAAAACGGGCTAACTGATAGAGCTTCCACAGTGACAGTACGCTCTAAGCCTGACAACGAGGCCTCAGATCTGGAAGCTTAACCTTCATTTCCCACCCGGAGCTTCGCCGGCTTCTAACCACGGCCGCTCTCGGTGAGGAAACTCTGGCCTCCGCTTCCTCCTCCTCCGACTCGGACACCGGCGGAGCGTCGCCGCCCCCGCGGAAGAAGCACCGAGCCTCGGCGGTGGAGGGAGCAGGAGAGCCCGGGGCTTCAGCAGTTTTGACAGGCCTTTCCGGAGTTGTCCTAGGACGCGGTGCATACTCTCAAGCCACCTCTGCCATCCACTTTAACCGAAGTGTTGTTAACAACCTCAGCAGCAGTATGCAGGCAAACGGGGCTGGACAAGGACAAGAATCCTCGGAGCTCTCTTGCTTAAACAGCGCACAAAACGGGGAGTCCTCCTCGGTCGGAGGAACTCACTCAAATGGGCTTCTCTCCAGCACAGATAACGGTAATAACGTCGGTACCAGTAATGGATCTTCAGTAGGGCCTTGCACGGGGACTTCGGCTGCTTCTACGGCCTCGAGTTCGGAGGTCGGCTCGTTGAAAAAGAAGAAACGACTAACGCAGGCGGAGGAAGATGTCATACGATTAATAGGGCAACATCTCCACGGACTAGGACTGAAGTAAGTTTATTCAGTGTGTCAGTCGAGGAAAAACTCACGAAGGCAGTTAACGTTAGCATCGAACATAAGAAGTGCAATCTGTATAACTTGGATTTTATGTGAAACTGCGAAATAGCAGTTGGTAAAGACGTTATTAGTGCGCTTGACAGACACAAACATGGGGGGATGGGGTTGGTAGTTAGCCTGTGAGCTCGGCAGTTGGTAGAAAGAAGGGGTCCATCTTGCACAATAACAGCTAGCATCGGTAGCCTGCGCTAAGGTGTTGTGTCCTGATATTTAACGTTTACGGAAAGATAAAACATAGTTCAACATAGAGCTGTTTCACGAGTTCACCATAACTCGTAGGAGCCTTTTAATGCCAGTTACGTCACGATCTATTAATAAATGTTATAGATTTCGCAGTGAATAAAAGGCATTACATCATCTAACATTAGTAACGTTTGTTCACACAAAACAAGGATCGCTGATTTGTTGTGGTTTTTCAGCTATATAAAATGGAGACGGTTCAGTTTTCCTAATTAGGTACTTAAGGAGAATGATCGAGTTTACGGCGTGAGTTTTACGTTTAAGAGGTTATTGCGCAAAAAGCAATTGCGGAGAAAAATGTTAGGTTAGTGCACGGGTTTTTCAACGTCGGCTTTTTACTCTGGTGATTGGTGGCTTTCTTCTTTTGTAGCTCGTCTGCAAATGCAGCACATTTTTTTCATTTGGGGTTTCTTTTTAGAGAGGTACATGGAGAAGTCTTGTAATGCTGAAAGACACTGTAATAACGGGTATGGGCTATGAAATATGACCTGGTTATTTTAGTATTCTTAGTGCACTCTTTGCATTTCTTGATGGGTCCTTGGAACTATTTATTTCATCAAATCAGGCACCATTTTACACAGCTATCTCACGAATGTTAGAACTTCTCTTCTGCCTTCATTTTTTCCGTCTTTGTTGCTGTGTCCGAGCAATGTGTCATCAGCCAGTCACAAACAGTGACGTGCATGTATTGGAGCGTGTATTTATTTAAAGTCAGTAGTCAATACTGTGGGCGACATTTGTTCCCGAACTGAGCAGAATCGGATGGCTTCATGGCGGCTGAGGAATGCGCTTTCTGCCAACTGTTTCACATGGAAACGTTGGTTTGAATCTAATTATAGAAATGAGGGTTTGTTGTTTTTTGTTTTCAAGAAACGTGTGTATGGTGATCTTCAAACTGCCAGTGGTCTGCACTGTTGGGTCCTTTGATTTCTAGTGTTCAGCTGAGAAAGTATAGCATTATAGGCATTATAAAAGACATTGCTGTGTTTACTATGAGGGTTTTTTTCTTTTCTTTTTTTTTGGGGGGGGGATGAAATTGCCTGGTATGAAACAGAGCCCCTACATTTCAGCCAGGGAAATACAAGCAAAATCGGGCTCAACACAGAGCTGCTGCGCCACTCCATTGATACCTGAGAATGATGTCATCATGCTGAAGGTGTCAGCCACCCCCCCATACCCATTTCACTTGCATTATCTTGCACACACATCTCTGCAGGAGCTTTTATGGGAGCAGAGTGTGTTTAGCAGAGGGATGGTGTTTGCACAGATGGTTATGGTTCACTGTTGACAGAGCCGAAGGGGGTGATGTCAACCGCAGTGGAAGCTTGATTCATGTTGGTGTCCACAAATAATGCTTGGGTGACACAACTGCCCCACAACCGGCTTCTCCCAGTTATTGTTAGCCATTAAATTATCTTCTCCCTACTGTCGGCCACAAACATTAATATCGTCTTGTCACCCAGTACACTATTTGCCATCATCATAAAGTATTGGCATAATGACATAAATGACTAGTGAGGAAAAAGGTCTATAACCTACCTAAAAAATGTCACTTAACATAATGATGGGCTAACTTGTCAGCTGACTGAGCTCACATTTTCAGGTATTGAGTGACTGTTAATAGCTGGAAAACCACATTTGGCCTTGATTTTTTTTTTCCCCTTTCACATGTCTCATCATTATATATCTGGATAACTTCCTCCACTCTCCTCCTGTGTCTCTGCAGTCAGACGGTGGACCTGCTGATGCAGGAATCAGGCTGCAGACTGGAACACCCCTCAGCTACCAAGTTCCGCAACCATGTCATGGAAGGGGAGTGGGACAAGGTTAGTATTTGTTTACAGTGACTACATAATAGGAAATATTCTGGGCAACATGGAATTTGTGACAGTGAAATTTCACTTCAAAACGCAGAGCTAGAATATATACAGTATATCTTTTCAGATCAGTCTCGCCTCATATTAATTATCAACCAAAGCTAAGTTTATGAAAGCAGCAGGTGGTAACATAGGTGAGTTCAAACAGCAATCTGTACGGGGCACAGTTATGCAAACCCAGCAGCATGAACTTGTTTAATTTTTAATGTTGAAGCCTGCAGGACAACCCTCTGTGGCTGAGTAGAATGAACAGAAATTTAAAGGTGAAGTAAAATGCTTATTAAGGCGTCTTTATGTAATTGGCTTTTAAATTGCCAGTTTATTTTATTAGCACTTGATCCAGCACTTTACAGCAGACCTATAAAAGTGTTAATGCTGGTACAAATGAATCTCCTGGTGTAACGAACCTACATCGGTTTAGAACACCTGTGGTCAAAATTAGACTAATACACAAGCAATTTGTTTTGATTCCATAAAGTTATCTACAAAACGGTAAAAGTAGCTGGTACTTTGAGATTCGTCCTTTACATTTTGATCACTGCACAGTTGCATTGTCAAAGCCTTATAGATTAGGTGACCATAAAATCTGTATCACTGTTTATATAATTAGTTTTGGGTTGTTTTTTTTTCTTGTGCATGCATGGAAAGTGCTGAGCTAATGATTTCTCCCTCTTTCTCTCCCCTCTGTCACCCTCCTTTTGTTTCGGTGCAGGCTGAGAATGATCTCAACGAACTGAGAGCATTGATGCATTCTCCCAATGCTATTGTGGTAAGCTGCCCAAACCTGAACTGGACTGAATGACAGTCAGTCAGTTAGCAGGCACAGCTGGACTTTCCAGAATGATACAGTTATAGAGCAGATTCCTGTTGTGGACAGCGCCACAAGAAGGAGCGAATCCACATTTAGATTTAGAGTAGTGTACTGGATACTGTTTTTAAGCAGAGTGTGACTCCACATTGCAATGCTGTTGGGTTTTTTTTTTTTTTTTTTTTTTACATAGTGTCTTTACATTGATTATAACTAATAGATTTAAAAGCTATGTTTTGGTTTGATTCTTGCTACTACAGCTTTGTTTTTGCCAGGTCAGTCAATACTGGGAGCAGATATAAGAGATCAAGAATTTCCATTACAGAACATGGTTTAAAAGAATTAAATATGTATACATTTAACAGCACATTGAGCACATATCCATGTCAGCTACAATATTTAACAGAAAAGACCGCAGTTGTGTATTTCTGCAGTACACAGTACATCTATCAGGGCCTTTAATATTGAATACCACTGATCCACAAACATTTATTCCTGTGAAGATTATGAGAGTAAATACTTTACAGTATCAGTTTGGTAATGAGACTCAGCTCAGACTAATTATCCCTAGCTAGCATGCTAATTAGCAACAAGATGAGCTCCAAAAATACTCCAGAGTCAAGTGCCTGCTGCTCTCTGTCATAAGGTTTCTAACAGCCATTCCCTGCTGAGTTATCGTGAAAATGGATGTAGCTTTTTAATGTTTTTTTTCTTCTTTTTTTTTCTTTCATAACGCCATTTTAGTTCTTGAGTTGAGATTACCATTGTCATAGTCAACATGATATTCACAACAGTTCTGGAGCGCAGTTTGCTCGTGTCACGGGCCTAAGGGGGAGAACTCTGAGATGTGTGTTTCTGCCCTCTTTATTTACAGAGTTATGTGGGTGGATTTTGTGTAGTCGATATGAGCGTGCTTGCTGTACTTGCATACCTGAGATAGGATGGAGGCGCTTAACACTGCGCTTAAATGACATTGCTAAACTGCAGCAATGTGTAAATACTATAAAAGAAATGGTGATGTTAATATTACCATATGTGCTCTGCATATTTGTAAATATATTCTAATAATGACAAATTGATTTTTTTAAATTATATTCTACCACTAATTTGAGTTTTATTGTATCAGTGTCATATATCCTAAATGGGAATGTTGTTTTTTTGCTTCCTTAAAATGTGGTACTTTATCCTTTTTTATGATAAAGTTATGCAAACTAGCTGTCATGATATATATGGTTAAAATCACTTCCTGTCAGTGTCAAAGCAGTAGTTTAAGCTTATTTGTCATTCTTTTATTTTCTCCTTACAAACAGAATGTCAGTACACTCTGATAAATGGTTTTCATTGTTGTGGTACAAAAAAGAAACATGTTTCAGCTTGAAGGCATTATCCACGTAATTCAAAACAACAGTAAATGATAACCAGGTGAGCTTTAAACGTCACTCAGTAAAAAGAATGCATAATTGCTTGATAGGGTGAAGCACACAAAAGGCCTTTCTTATTCCTCAGCTAGAAATCCAGTATGATGTATGTTGCCAAGTATTTCAAGGTGTATGATTATGGCTTTCTCTTTGAAGGTGTAGTCACGCAGATGCATTTCTGTTATGGAGGGAAGCATATTTGTGTTATATGTTACAATCTGAGCCCAAAAGGTTTGAACAGAGATCTGCTGTTGAGCCGTTTATTTAATTTAATTTATTAGTATTCCATATTTTCACTGTGCAGATGCATATATTGGTGCCACTTATTTTTGACTTTGATTGTAAAATGTTATAAAGAGCTAATAAGAATTTATGCTATTGTTGGACAAGTTCAGGAAACGTCTTATTTTTGTTGGTGTATTTTTCTGATATTTTCAGTATATGTTAATATCTAAATGAGTATTTTTTTTTATTTTTTTTATTTTTTTTTATCTGTATATTATGATAAGAATGTTACTATGGGATGGGGACATCTGCTCTTGGGTGATAATGTGGCTTTAGCTACATGAGATTCCTAAAAAGTACTTTGCAACACAGAACACATATTATTGTAGTTTGGAACACCTCTGTGTGAGTCTTTATTCATTTATTATTATAGATAGTTTCATATTTTTAATCTAACTTATTTTCAGTTATAAAAACTGGATGGGGTTTCTGGCTCTGGCAGTCATGTTTTCTTCCTGAGAAATCTTTGCTTGCTGGGTAATGCATTTATTGATGCATCCTATCATGCAATTATATATTCTCTTTAATGTTTGATGTTTGAACCTTTTCCCAAAATTAGAATGAAGGCTTTGTTAGCTGGCGCCAGCCTTGTTTGTTTTGATATTTGCAGCTATGGGAGACTTGGTGCATTGAACGTTTGGAACTGTTGCTGCTGTTCTTTACTATTTATTTCTTCTTCCTGTATGTTTTTGGTGTTTATAGATTACCTTCTCTATACCTGTGCTTCTCTTCTTTCTACTCAGCGTATGAAGTTCCTGCTGCTGCAGCAGAAGTACCTTGAGTACCTGGAGGACGGAAAAGTCTTGGAGGCTTTGCAGGTCCTCCGGGGAGAGCTGACGCCGCTCAAGTACAACACAGATCGCATCCACGTACTCAGCGGGTACTGTTTAATGTTACCTCTGGCTTATAGCCATCATCAGGATGTTCACCCTGTCTGCACAAATACACACCTACTAACCACCCATATAGCTATTGGAGAGTCCTGTAGACGCTAATGGTACGCCTGTTTGGTGATTTACTTGTACCAAAATCCGCACCTGTATAAATATAAATTAATATATTACTGTTTGCTGATAATTAAGGGAATATTAAATTGTCTTACATTATGATAATTGATGAAGCTTAAGCTGTTGAATTCACTGTAAAACTTCTACATGGTAAATGATTTTAGTAGTAATTTTCACAGTGCAGTTCTTGTCACACTTACTGTTTTATCTCCAGTAATAAAACAATCATGGATCTTTTTGCTTGATCTGCAAATGTTAGTCAGCTCTTTTTTTAAAATATCAAATACCTGAATGTAACAAGTTCATCTTAGACCCTTCAGGATGCTTTATTTACCACATCTGAAAGTTTGCTAAATTTAGTCTCAGTTAAAATCTGTATTTAGTTGTCAGTGGTTGTAGTTTACAGCCATTCTTATCACTATTTTAAGCTCCTGTTTACTTCCTGGTGATAAGATGTCTTTTTAAAATTGTAATAATCCTTCATGGATGTTATGATGTCCTCTCAGTGTGTTTTTTGCTTAAACTGCGTTCTTGTATGTTGTTTCAGGTACCTAATGTGTAGCCATGCTGAGGATCTTAGGGCCAAGGCAGAGTGGGAGGGCAAGGGCACGGCTTCACGCTGCAGGCTGCTGGATAAACTACAAAGTGAGGAGGCATTTCCATAACTGACCCTGTACAGCTAACAGATGTTGTCTTATTTTTGTGTGTGTGTGTGTGTGCATATTCCATGTGCAGCTGTGAATCTCTATGATCCGTTTCTTCCTCTCTATTTGTAGCATACCTGCCTCCTTCTGTGATGCTGCCCCCTCGTCGACTGCACACCCTGCTCCGGCAAGCAGTGGAGCTGCAGAGGGACCGCTGCCTTTATCATAACACCAAGCTGGACAATAACCTGGACTCGGTCTCTCTCCTCCTTGATCACGTCTGCAGCAGGTTGGTACTTCAAAGCTAGCATGTTGCACTCTCTCCGAGACGCCAGACTTTGCTAAATTACAAAACTGTAATATTTTACTCTTGTTGTTATAAAACCAAAATGTTGGAGCTCCTTGTGATTCTAAATGTTGTTTTTGGAGTGGAAGTCAGCTGATTTTTCTCTTTAATGACATACTCCACTACTATGTCTCCACTACTTCTTTTCTTTTGTACCTTGATGCTTCGTATATTTTAACCTGTCGCATTTTCTCTCTCCTATTTATTTGCTGTGTATTGTAATGTCCCAAACACCTGTAGCTCATCAGGGAATGGACATGCAGCCTCTGGGGGTGTCGTCTGGTGTCTGGAACGTTGACACTGTCAAAGGATCCTTTAAGTCTTTTGTAGCGTGAGATAGGGTGAAGTTGATAGGTTGAGGGAGTGGGGTGTTTGGTGTGCACCAATGTTTAAGTAGATGGTACATGTCAAAGCAATATCCAGGATAAATCCAGGATTTTCCAGCAGATAATCACTGTTGTTCACAACCGGTCAGTGGTTTTACTGCTGTGGCTCATCTATAATCGATTGTTTTAACTGACACAATGAAGGGAAGATGAAATTCAAGTTCTTTAAGGCTCTGGTTGCTCTGTCTTTGTTCACACACCCTTGGAACAATGCACAAAAGTCACGAACAGTGCCTTTGGATTGGCAGGCGGAGGACTGACCTCTTTGTAAAGGGCGACCGGTGGGTGTGTTACATCTTCAGAGGATCACAGTTCAGTGCAGTGGTGCTGGCGAGGAGAGTCTAAGCATTAGTTCAAACTCCGGTTCAGAAAGAGGAATATGGAAACTGGGCCAACTGGGCCAGTACAGGGTGTGTTGGAGTTTTCCCCATAAATCTACATGCATATTATGGACCTGGGAAAATGCATATGACCAAATCCTTTAGGGGACTCGCTCCATTCAGTAGAGGAGTTCAAGAGGGCTTAGTCCAAAGCTGATGACTTTCTGGTAGATCCTACCCTCACCAGTGGGCACCAGCTGTGGGTAGCAACTAAAGGATTAAGAATACAAGGAACAGAACCAAGATTCTTTCAAAAGGTGTCCTTACAAGTGTAAGGATTAGCGATACCAACTGTTAGCTACAAAGTGATGGGCAACAAGCCAAGTGTTTTTCTTTTAGGTGGGCTGTAGAGCTGGTGGGAGCTCTGCTTTGCATGAGGGGCTCAAAGTAGAGCTGCTGCCTCTGTGCAGTGAAAGGAGACAACCGAGGTGATTAAGGCTTAGATGGCTGCCCCGGCCACCTGGACCTGGGTTAAATGGATGACTGAATTAAGATTTTAACTTTTTCATCTTGTGTGTGGGTGTGGGTGTGTGTGTTACAGGAAGCAGTTCCCATGTTACACTCAACAGATTCTGACTGAGCATTGTAATGAGGTGTGGTTCTGCAAATTCTCAAATGATGGCACCAAGCTAGCCACTGGCTCCAAAGACACTACTGTCATAATTTGGCAAGTGGACCCAGTAAGTTTTGGGGGTTTTTATTAGTATTTTAATTTCAGACTTGAAAATCTCTTGACAATTTGGTTGTTGTTGTTTTTTTTTAAATTTCCACAAATAAGGGCCCAGTCCATATTGTGTCTCAGGGTTTTTCTTTGTCCTCTTACTATCTGTGTAGGAGAGCCACCAGCTGAAGCTGCTGCGAACCCTGGAGGGTCATGCGTACGGCGTCTCCTACTTAGCCTGGAGTCCCGATGACACCTATCTGATCGCCTGCGGACCGGATGACTGCTCCGAGCTCTGGCTCTGGAATGTTCAGGTAAGGCTGATGCACGGTGGCTTCACTTGTTAACTTTAATGCTATATTACCTCTTCAAACAGCAGAGAACATAATAGTACAGTTGTGTAGAAAAGCATACATGGGTGAATCTCAAAATCTTTCTTTTTCAAAATGAGGAAACGTGTGCTGGATAACCTGCCTTAGATACTCTGTAGTGTGCTGTGTATACTCAGTGACCTCTCCGCTTCACGGATCCCCTTCTGTTTCCTTTCCTGTTACTCAACCCTCCCCCACTCTTGCTTAATATTTCTTCTCGCTGTCTCCCTTCCCCCATTTTCTCTCCTCTTGATTTGCACTCGGTCTGTCAATCCCCCCTCTTCACCAGACGGGGGAGCTGCGGACCAAAATGTCCCAGTCCCATGAAGATAGTCTGACCAGCGTGGCCTGGAACCCTGATGGCAAGCGCTTTGTCACTGGAGGACAAAGGGGACAGTTTTATCAGTGTGTAAGTTAATTAGTTATTTTTTTTTATTCTCTCTCTATGTTTAATGCACAGTTGTTTTTAGTTTGTGTGCTTTCGTCAAATTTTTCACCTTTTTTTTTTCTTGAAAAGAATTAATTAGTCATCCCAACTATTTTGTTATATTTTTGTTGAATTTAACTTGAGTTTTAACTGCTGTAACAATTTTGCCATGTTTGGTGCTAAATAAAGCATATCTTATCTTGTTATCATTGCTTCTGTTAATCAGTGCTGAATTCCTGGCATGTTTTCATAATGGTGTGCTGGGGAAGAGAGAAAAGGAAAAGAGATTTTGTTGTGTTAGCAGCTGTTAAACGTCTATTGAAATGCTGGGATGACCTTAATCAGGTTTTCAAACAATCATAGGCTCTTTCAGTATTGTGATTTTCTATCCAACTTACTGAAAGAGCCCATAAAAATATGTTTTTCACAGTTGATCTACAGCTATTTGTGTGTGCTTTGTGACTAAGCAGGTCTTTTGTGTGGATGATAAATGGTTGAAAGAAAACAGAAAATTCTGTCAGCTCTTTCCCCTCCCAGGGTGGTTCCCTGTACCTTTTAATGAAGAGTTTTGACACCTTGATATATATGAATAAAGATGTGGTTTGACCATTGGAATAAGTTTGGGATTTTTCCCAAAGGTTTCCCCTCGTAAGCGGATCATCCCCACTAACTTCTGTTTCACAATTGGTCATTTTGTCCTGGAAGCAGGCCTGAAATATGACAGAAACCACTTAAACCACTTCACAACAGAGAAACAAGTGCTTCCCCTCGTAAGCGTCCAATGGGAGTAAGAGTTTAGTATGATTGCCATACTATGCTGTTTCAGTGTTTCTCTTCTCTGATGTGTGTATTTCAGGACCTGGATGGCAACTTGTTAGACTCCTGGGAGGGTGTGAGAGTGCAGTGCCTGTGGTGCCTGAACGATGGCAGGATAGTGCTGGCCTCAGACACCCACCAGCGTATCCGGGGATACAACTTTGAGGACCTTACGGACAGAAACATGTATGTGTCAGCGCTCCTCACCCCTGCACTGTTGTATACCTACATGAAATATTGTTGACATGTGCCATTTTTCTCAAGGGGCTAATCCAGGTGTAATGAATCGCTAATCATGGTAGTTGCTGGAGTTGATCTCTTCTGATGCCGAACAGTGCTCCTTTTATAGCTATGGTTTCACTTTAAAACGGATGAATACCACAACAAACTCTTCCTGAATTTTAGGAACTCTACAGCTGTCTGTAGTATTTGCTCTAAAATATCACGTTATAATTATCAGTTACATCACACATCACAATGCCTGACATGCTGTCTTGTTCACATGTCCTTTACAGAGTTCAGGAGGACCACCCTATCATGTCTTTTACTGTTTCAAAGAACGGAAGATTAGCTTTGTTAAATGTAGCAACTCAGGTAAGTTACTGATCAATTCAGGCTCTTTACAGCATCAGTCCTGCTAAAATGCATGGCTGCTTAGTAGTATCTGAAGTATCCTTCAGTAGTTACAGTCTGTTGGTCTATACCTTTTTGTAGGGAGTGCACCTGTGGGACCTTCAGGACCGGGTGCTGGTAAGGAAGTACCAAGGTGTTACCCAGGGCTTCTACACAATCCACTCCTGCTTTGGAGGACACAACGAAGACTTCATTGCCAGTGGCAGCGAAGGTACAGTCAGAGTGCTGTGGGAATAAATGGCCATGTTTTGACTATGTTTAGTAGAACATGTATGAGTCTTCTTTCAGTGTGATGAGTTCTGGTCCAGTGTCCTTTCTGCGTGTAGCTCTGCATGACTTCTGATCACCATTATAGTAGTGACTAATTTGGAAAAAGTAACTTAAATGCCTTAATTAGGATGGTTAAAGCCCTTAGCAGCCAATTCCCAGCCAGCCCAGATCCTTTGCTGTATTTCATTCCTCTGCACCCTTTCCCCATATTTCCTTGTGAAATATGGTGAAATGTTTCTTCCTTTCATTCAGTTTCTCTAAACTTTCTAAATTCCGATCGGTGTTGTCTTATACATTAATTCCCCTACAATTCGAACCCTGTTTTCTTCCACCTGTTTTATTGCTTTCTTTATCTATTGCCACAGACCACAAAGTATACATCTGGCATCGGCGTGGTGAACTTCCTATCGCTGAGCTCACAGGCCACACGCGCACCGTTAACTGTGTGAGCTGGAACCCGGCCATCCCAAGCCTCATGGCTTCTGCCTCCGATGACGGCACAGTACGCATCTGGGGCCCTGCACCCTTCCTCGAATCACAAGAGGCAGATGGGCTCAACGGTAGTTATAACTGTTGGTTATAACATGATTTTATTTTCTTTTTGTTTTTGTTCGTGTTGATTTATGCTAAAATTCTCCTCAAATCACCATTTTGATCGACTAAATGTTTATTTCCTTCTCAGAAAACTGCAGTCACATGGACAGTTGATGGTCACTAATAGAGCAGAAACCGTGTCTCTAACAACAAACAACATCCCACAGTAAAACACAATATTCATGGGCGAAGAAAACTCAGCATCCACATATTGCAAGAGAAGAATAACCAACAAAAAATGAGAAAACATACGGAAGAAAATTGTCTCCTGACTGGCCTAGAAAAAAATAGCGAGTGTGAAGACGGACCGAAAACTCGTCTTCATCCGAAATCCGATTCTGACCTAAAGGCCTGATAAATGAGTCGGCGCCCAGCGGGATACTCCCTGGAGAGCTGTAATGGCTGTTCTCCTCTTCCAAGCAAACCCTTCCTCCTCCATGTCCCTGCGTGGTCACCAGCCATGCCAGGTCCTCACAAGTTTCCCAGGAAACCCACCTCCACCTGGAGCTTGGAGCACATCAAGTCCCTGTGATGTCTCCAGACAGACACCGCAGATCAGCCGTCTGCTCACTGGACTACATCTGTGTGCCTGTCTGTCTCTCACGTTACCTGTATAATGTCTCCATGGACTTGGGGTGGGGTCTTGCTGGGGGAGGATGGTGCATAGAGGGGGGATATAGCAACTATTCTGTATGTATGTTTTCCTCTCCCCCTCTTTCTTGCTATATTAACATTCAATCTTTTGGACAAAGGCTGAAAGTCCACAGTGGAAACATTGACCGACCAGCTGAAACACAGACAAAAAAAAAAGGCTATGCTAAATGTTGGATTTTTTTATGATAGTCATAGGGTTTATTCTCATTTAAGAGGTGAATCTTAGCAAGTAGTGCCCTTGGAAAGCTTTAGTGTGAAGATTCCACTTTTTGTTTCTCAACATTAGGAAAAATAAAATCTTTTTATTCCTTAATTTAACTGCTAAAGGACAGTTGCTGTTCTGTTTCCAACTGACAGTACACCCCCCCCCACACAGTCTGTCGAGCTAGCTACCGCACAACTTCATTACATCTGCCTAGGAGGACAGAGGAACTCACAGTTCACATATCATCTGGGAGGAGGGAGGGGTGGGTCTTTCGTTGTCGATAAGGTGGCGTTTCCACTATCAAGACATACACTTTGACCTTTCTCAAGAGACATGCTTTCAGATGTGAAAAGTGCAACTTTTAATGCACATCAGTGACTGCTGTTCCTCCTCTGTGTGAGTGTGTGAGTGAGAGTGAATGAGCGATTATGCATGCACACATTAGTATGAGAGCTGACGTTACTGAGTGCAGATTTAATTGGCGTGTGCTTTGTGTGTGTGTGTGTGTGTGTATGTGTGCGTGCGTGCATGCATGTGTGTTCAATTCGCACCAGCAGATAATCCCCCACCCCCACCCTCTCTCCAATTCTCCTAATCCCATGTTAAAATTGTAAAGAGGATTTTAAAACCAGTTCTGAGTTATCCAAAGCCCCATAGGGACCTCTATCTGTGGAACAAAGAATACTTGAGAGCCATTTTGTAAAAGAAAGTCATTTTGTTTGTTTTGTTTTTTTTAATCTGGGGCTTTAATTTTTACATTCAGATTTTTTTTTCTCTTTTTTTTTTTCTCTCCCTACCACGTGGCATTTAAGCGACACTGAACCAGTGACATCTGCTTTTTGTGGGTTTGGGGAGGAAAAGGAAATTTCAAAAGAGCAATTCGAGCGAGACCTGTTTCTAAAAAGCTGTAAAGTGTTGTTATTAGCAAAGAGTAATTTCTTATGAGAAGTTAATGATTGTAATTAATGGACGTGTAGTTGGACAGCCCCAGAGAGGAGAGGCACCAGTACCCAGATCCACGCTTCGAGCGCACAGTTAGGGAGTGTTGTTGCAATCCTGGGAACGCACACAAACTGCCTTCCTGTTTATACAGTTGCACACAAACCTTCACTATGTACGGCAGCACCCCCCCCCCTCCCCCAAACTGCACTTTGAGTAGTCTTTTCTGCTCTCTTGCACATACAGCAATGGCATAAATCCATGAAGTTCCCAGCCTAAAACGTAAAATGTTACATTGGTGAAGACGTAACCTACATAGGAGATTGCTTAAAGGAAGCAAGCCCTTACTATGCCTCTATGCATCTAAAAAGCAGTGGCTTGTCTTTGACTTTTTGAAAGCTCACTCTCAAAAGGCGTAGCAGCCTCTTCTCGAGGGTACCGCTGTCGAGCTTAGAGAGAATTCAGCATTAACAC